TCAGCTTCTATCACATAGCTTCAATACTATTTGTGTGCACTCCAGTTGTTGCTTCCACAAAATTCCACTTGTGGACAACGACACGATGCACATAACGAAGTTTATGTAGGAGTCTGTACGCTCTCTAATGATCCGTATATATTGTAGTACCTGGTTGCAGCCAGTGTTACTTGTGCTTTCATTATCCAATTCGCAATATTTGTCATAATTTACCTTAGTTAGGAATTATATATAGGGTTTTCATCACGAACTAATATCAGCTATAATGCCAAAATGCTATTTAGCCAAACCGATGAATGACTTTCGCACCAAAATCCCAGACCTGTTATCTTATACATGATTGGTTCGTCCACAAATTATAGCCGCTCAATTATCACGTTTTGTATAAAATCCTCTGTGAATCAATCGAACGTTAGCATCAGGTACTGAAATTGGCGCCGTGACCTTGAAATCCCCCAAACGCTTCTGATTGGCTCGTCCATAAATTGTAATCTCGCCACATTTTCATTATGCATTGATACAGTCCTTTAAATTATTTATTTCAATAGCTCCATGAAAACAAATTAACACAATCAAATTCTATATTCCTTTATTTTTATTTTATTTGATATGGAGCTAATAGACTTTTTTGGCTGAAATCAAATTGTATAATTATTGGATATCATAATGAATTGTTATTAAGATCTGGTCATTTCAATAAACCGATGATTATAAAAGTAACCAACATTATTCTTTTAGTTGAGATCATGAGTTAATTGATGTTAGGCCACCATTGGAAACCTGGAAGCATTGGACGGCCGTTTCGTCCTAGTATGGGACTCCTCAGCAGTGCGCATCCACGATCCCGCAGGGGTGCGGGATCGAAACGACCGTCCAGTGCTTCCAGGTTTCCAACGGTGGTCTAACATCAATTAATTCATGGTCTCAACCAAAAACTTAACAATCTCCACAACCCCCATACTGATAATTATTCTTTTACTAAATTAATAGAAAACAATTCTTTATTCAATTGATTTATAAGTTTTGTCAACAATTCAATGATAGAATATTTACTTTTCCTTTATTTATGTCAATAATAGTGGTATAAAGATTATAAAAAGAAAATTAGGTGAAGGTTAATTTTGATTAATTCATTGTATAAACAATTGTATGATCTTATAATTAATTTGTTATTGATTTTTTTACTAATGGTATATTAATTCTATGAACAGTTCATTATAATTATCATATAAATGAACAAAAGATTTTGAATACATTCGTTTATTATGTAACTCTTGTTCATATGTCAAATCGATTTTTATGCGATCACCCTGGTGGACCAGGGTGCTTGGTACCTGTGTGGTTGCGCCACAGGATTGAGCTGTACTATTCAGATTGTAGCGTTAAAGCCTATACGGTGTCTTGTTCATCTGCTAAACGGGGTTGAGCTGTACTGTTTGGGTTGTCACGTGGAAGCCCGGGTGGTGTCTGGTTCTCGTGAAAACAAATGTAAAATTAACCTGGCCCACAAGAGTATATTATATAACTGTGAATTATATAACTGAATTGATAGGGATGTTTAAAATTTCTGATGTATTATGGATATTTTAGCAAAATTGTTACTGTGAAGAATCAATTTTTTGGACAAAAAAACAACCTTCGAAATGAGGAGATCTCCATAAAACTTAAAGTCAACTAATATAAACCATCTCGCTAATATTTGTACAGTCTTATTGAGATATAGTGACTGGTGCAATTCATACATGCTAAGGATAAAACATTTGCCTATAACAGGATCGCAGGATTATCGTGCTATTTCATAAATAGACTGAAGTTGAAAGTGTACCATTAGATGCTGATTTAACGGTTTTGATGGTTCATCGTGAGACTATGAATTGTTGACGAGATGGAGTTTCATGTGTACTCTGCTCAAAGGTGCGATGTTGGGTTAAAACAGTTAGTTCTCCCTGGTTTTCGAAGACAAGTGCACATTGTTGGTATGGTACTAAGTTTCTGGAATTCAGTGTATCTATTATTGTTTTCTTTGTGTTGCATAATCTATATATTGATATGAAATTACTTGAGACTAACAGTGTTAACATATTAGTTTTAGTTAACTTGATTTTCGAGTAAATGTTACAAACATACATGTTTAATAAAATTTCATTGTTTTCTCAACGAAATCTAGTGTGCGATACAAATATCTAATTATAAACTAGTAACAATTATGATATTATGTAGGTGAATGAAATTAGTCTTAGACCAAAGTTCCAAATCAGTTAGCATATGTCAACTTCTTGAGCTACTTCTATCATAGTTACAGTTAGAAACTACCTGAAAACTATGCTTTCGATCATTTATGAGGTTATAAATCTAAACTATCTAGATCTTCAAAAAAAGCGAAACATTTCAAATGACCGAAATCAAAGATTATCAAAATACATTAAGTTTTAATATTTTACTAATATTAAAACAATAAGATTAACAGTTTATGGATTTTATCAATGTTTAAACTAGTCCTTTATTATGTATATGTACATTTCATATAATATTTTATTGTTGCAAAATGTACCATCAATTCTATGTGGAAAAAATTAATCCAATAGGCAAGCAAGTATCATGCGCCTTTTTTTAAAATAAAATATTCAACGTCATTGTGTAATAATACATTTATGAGTTTACGTCTTTGATCTAGTTTGTCGGTATTATTAAAGGATGAAAGAATATATTCATTTTTCATTAGGTAATAACTGATAAAATATGGGAACTGTAGCTTATGATAGTTTAGACATCTTTTACGTATTATTATAAGTATACTACGTTTCAATACAAAATACTAGTACATTTTACTCAATACAGAGAGAAGTATTGACTAGTTTGTTGTAGACTATCTAGTTTGAAAACGATACAAATTCATATTACTCTAAATCTTAAATCTATTTAACAAATCATTTACGAAAGAATTCAACTCTGATATCCTAGAAGAATAAGAAGTAGAAAGATACCTTTAAAGAATTCTGAAAATAATGAACTATATATTAATTTCAATTGTTGAGATCATGGGATAATTGAAGCTGAACCACAATGGAAAACATGGAAGCACTGGACGGCCGTTTTGTCCTATTATGGGACACCTCAGCAGTGCGCATCCACGACCCCATCTCGCGGCATCCGAACCCAGGACCTACTGGTCTCGCGCTCAGGTACTTGACCACTGGACCACTGAGCCGGCATCCAACGGTGTTAATGTCTAACCCCAACTAATTCACGCGCGCGAGACCAGTAGATCCTGGGTTTCGATCTCGCGAGGCGGGGTCGTGGATGCGCACTGCTGAGTAGTCCCACACTAGGACGAAACGGCCGTCCAGTGCTTCTAGGTCTTCCATGGCGGTCGAGCCTCAGTTGACTCATGATCTCAACAATCAAAACCATATATTAATTTAAATGGACTGTCCATAATCTTTTTGTAAGGACCATATGCATTCAGTGAATATGAAGGTGGAAAGATGGGCCTTCTCTATTTGATTAGAAAAATAGAAAATGATTTCCTACACGACAGACTGCGTAAAGTATTGGATAAGGTCTTTTTGGTGGCTAGTCTCTAATTATCCATTTCTAGCTGGTCAATGGTAGTTCCTCAACTAACACTTTTGCACACCTTTATGCATCTACTAATTCAGTTACTCCTGAGAATAAAGTCATATTAAGTGTATGACCAGACAACGTAGTCAACGAGTTAGTAAGTATGTCTTTTAATAGTTTGGAAAAGGTTTAAAAAAGTCAATGTACAGCTCCATTCTATCATACATTATCGATAATTACCATGTTGCAGACAGAACCAATGATTTTGAAATGAATAATTGCACATTGAATTGTTTGAACTGGATTCGTTTTCTTCATTTACCTCTATGGGAAACTATAAAGATATGAGTTAAAGGTTTGTATTATCTTTGTCTTTCCCGAGACCAACGAAAACCTGATCCATTTCTGCATCTTTTATCTTTTTTGACTTTCCCCTTTGTGTACTTTAACTAACAAATTTAGTAAACATTTTAATGTATGTTCAAGCTTCGATGAATTCAGTATAACTCCTCAATAATTTCTTTTTAGAAATTTTCACATGAGATATGAAAAAAACTAATAATCGACTACATAGTTTGTAATTTAAGATCGTGTGTATGTAATCAGTCTGCTTACTAACCCTGAATATTTTTCTATATGATTATGTGTGTGCTAATTACTTACCTTACTCGTCACATGTCTGTAACTTATTTTTGATCTGACTATAAATATGAACTCACGCTTGGTTAAATCGAGTTGTCTCATTCACCTTGTCCATTGCACGTCATTTTGTTTTACTGCGCTTTCCGATCAACGTTTGTACGAAATACGCGTATTCGAAAATTCATTCTTGTATTTGACTTGTTTAATTCTGTTATTCACCAACACGATTTGGATCGATGATTATATATAAGGATTGGTGACATGTTGTTATAACTGTGAAAATAATAAATGCGGATTAAGGGATAGCGGATTATTGATCGGACCAAAGACGCACAAACACGTAGAACGACCTAGGGTTCTGATTGGTCTCGCTTCCCTGTATAGCCCAGCCAGTTAAGTCCAGAACGCAAGTCACAGCCTCGGATATATGAATCATTATATTTCAAACATACTTTGTTTATATACCATTCAAGCAGTCCACAACGTACCATAAAATAGAAGATAACATTGTACAATAATGGCCAACAGGAAAATAACACGTCAAATAAATATTGACCAATAAGATGATACCATTTCATGTCCAAGGATAGCATTAGGCTTAACAGGATAATTTTTGGGGTATTTCCCTGAATATCCCAACACCTCCCTTTTTTGGAGATCCGGAGTTGATGTCCGAATTTTAAATTTTTCTCGCGTCTATCCTCCCCCTCGAAATAATGTTGGGTCCTCATATACCCAAGGAACAGTTAGTGTGACTCTATTTGAAGCATATTTCCCGCATTGAGTAGAGAGTCCACTAGGACTGACTAGATGGTGAGGATCAGCGACAGTAGATCTGAGGTCATTAGGGTTTAAATCTTTAGTAAGTGGATCATTATGATAATCGGCGTCCAACAAAACTGTACCAGGTTCTTGGTTATTATTTGATGCGTGAAACACATTTTCTGGCAAAACAATGAGATCTCGTGAGCTGGATATGTTACTGTCTGCACATGCTGTTTCGGGGTTGATGGAGTTTGACTTCATTACCGGGCATGTTTCTGGAATAGAAAGTACTGGACCACTGGGCGCATGATGGATGACTGTTTCGTTTGAAGTACAGTTCACCGAGGATTCATGGAGGCTGCTGTCATTTACCAGCTCACTGTGTATTTCAGATATCAATCCATCCACTTCCGTCGCGTCTTCATAGCATGAGTGATTTAGCAGCTGCGTGCGGAATTTGACTAATAACTCCAAATGTCGTTCAAAGAGCAGCTGTAATCGATCGGAGGGGAGAGTCATTTTTTCGAATCAGCACCTGTGATGAAAATTACTGTATGACTAATGACCAATGTGGTTCAAGGACACTGATGACAATCTGGATACTGATTGGTTGAATAATTAGACTGGATTTCGTCCAATTACAGAATGACTTTGGATTGTACCTTTTCTTCACCCCGTCGCCAATTGTTATAACTGTGAAGATAATAATGCTGATTAAGGGATAGCGGATTATTGATCGGACCAAAGACGCACAAACACGTAGAACGACCTAGGGTTCTGATTGGTCTCGCTTCCCTGTATAGCCCAGCCAGTTAAGTCCAGAACGCAAGTCACAGCCTCGGATATATGAATCATTATATTTCAAACATACTTTGTTTATATACCATTCAAGCAGTCCACAACGTACCATAAAATAGGAGATAACATTGTACAATAATGGCCAACAGGAAAATAGCACGTCAAATAAATATTGACCAATAAGATGATACCATTTCATGTCCAAGGATAGCATTAGGCTTAACAGGATAATTTTTGGGGTATTTCCCTGAATATCCCAACACATGTATATTTAGATAACAAGCAGCAAACGATCTACATGAAGTCAGATCTCGAGCTACTAAAGATTATGGATATATCGTGAAGGTTGATGACTCTGTATCAATGCATTTTGACCTTGAATAACCTATAGATTGATTATATGAAAAAATTATTTTTGATGAATTACGTAAAGGGAAGTTTTAAAGTCCGTAATTGTTAAAGGAAATTTTTGTCTATAAGGTTCTTAAGGTAAGTATAATATACTAAAAGGAATGAAACAGAAAATGTCCTTACTAAGGTCAGTTATTTATTGTTAATTTTATTTCAATTGACTAAGAAGTTGTCATTGTTTCTTTTACATTTCATCTCTCATATATTATTTAGTTATTTAGAGAATTAGGTTGTGGGGGCCCGTTATTTAATTTTGTCCTAATTTAGATCGAACGATGTTGTCGAAAGGGCTCTGCACTTTAGTGACCCGTGATCTGACTCCAAGATTGTAATGATGATTGTTGTTGAAATATATGTATCGCCTCTCCTCGTATATATTTATCGACTTAAATGGCGTTAGTCAATAACGGAATTCAATAAGTCGAATAACGAGAATGGACTTGTGAATACCTATATTTTGTATATAAAGTTAATGGAATAGAACGAAGCAAAACGACGCGCAGTGGAGATGGCTGGTAAGCCAACTCCCCTTTAATCAAGCGTTAATCAATAATTATAGTTACACAAAAGTAAGTTACAGACATGTGATGAGTGATGGGATAAGAAATGTACACACACCTACGTGCTCATATAAAAACAGTCAAGATTGATAAGCGAATAAATAACAAGGTCAGAATGTGACTCAAGTAGAATGAATAGAATGGGATGTCCGAAAGCTAGAATAAGGTATATCGGCTTAACATAATAACCGACACTACAAGACAACATTATTTCACTTGGTTGATATAAGTTAGTGGAAAATCTTTGGTTATAAAAATTTAAAAGTTATTTGAGGATTGAGGTGTATATGAGCAAATGAAGATTGAGTTTTAAACTATTTATTTACAAAATCATTGGCAAAGTAATAAATGAAAACTAACTAAAAGCTTATCATTCTTATCAGAATGATGTGATATATTTGCGCAATACATTTCGAACAATCTGATCACATATATACTTGTTAAGAACATTTATATATGAAAATTAAATGGTCAACTAGACAGGTTAAGGGTAAGTCATAACAAAGGAAAAAATAATAAAGTAAACAAAACACAAAAGTGATTAACACTCTGGATAATAAATCAGTATTACCAGGGTAGGTTAAGTGTAAAGACCACCTTTATGTGTTCAAAAACAATTTGTCCTTACTCGATTATTTTTTCCTTTGTTATGACTTACCCTTAACCTGTCAAGTTGACATTTTAATTTTCATATATAAATGTTCTTAACAAGTATATATGTGATCAGATTGTTCGAAATGTATTATCACTCTTAATGAAAAGAAGGTAATTGAATAAACTGTTGTTGCTGAGGGGTCTCTTACTAGGACGAAACGGCCGTCCAGTGCTTCCAGTTTTTCCATGGTGGTCTAGCTTCAATCGACTCATGATTTCAACCTGTGAAACTGTTGTTATATTGAATGTTTCAAGTCATTGATTAATATGTAATTTAAATATTTTGACATTTTTATGATAAATGGGATCATTTTGTATTTGATTTTTATTCATCAAGATTTTAAGTCCTCACTTAATTTGAATCTGCATTTCTTGTAAATTATAATTGCAATGTTCTTGATCTTAGTCCACAAAACAATTATAGCGGATGTTAGAATTTTTGTCTACTATGACTTCTTAATTAAACATAAGATATACAAACATGTGGTAACAGAAGAAAATGTTATTTGATAGGATGGATCTACTTATTTATAAGCCTATAATCCACTAACTTTATTGAATAGTATGTTCTGTGGAAATATTTTTTGTTGAAATCTTAGTTCTATATCTACACATTACAAAGTGTCCAATGAAATACTTCAAAATGTGTACTTGATGCGACGATGCTCAACATTCTATTCAGAAATATTTGGGAGGGAAAACATGTACCAACAGAGTGGATGGCGAAACATCTCATCAGGATATCAAAGAAAGAAGATATGAACAGTTGAGAAAACTACAAAGATATCACACTACTTTCAGTACCAGGAAAAGTTTTTAACAGTGGTTTTGGAGCGAATGAAATATTCAGTAGACGCTCAAATTCGAGATCAACAGACTGGTCATGCATAGACCAAATCGCTACGTTATGGATCATTTTTGAACAATCATTTGAACGTAACTCGTCACTATACGTCAACGTCCTTGACTATGAGAAAGTGTTAGGCATTATGGATAAAACAACCTTATGGAACCTTCTTTCACACTAGGATCTGTATGAGATCATCAATATCATACGGAATTCGTACGACAGACTACAGTGCATAGTGGTGGATAGAAGACAGATCACGGATGCATTCCAAGTGAAGATGAGTGTCAGACATACTTTTGTACTCTCGCCCTTTGGTTTTCTTCTGGTGGCTGACGATATTATGAAGACCTCCACGTATCAAGAGAAGCGGGGAATACTGTCGGCAACTTGGATGTTGCTAGACGATTCAGACCAAAGTTTGTTTGCTACATGGGAAGCAGATAGATGCAAATATACTGATGATGAGCTTAATCATACTCCCATGAATTTGTTTTGTATAACCAATACATGAATGAATAATTCTGAAATAGAATTCTAACAAATTTATTTGTTTGAATCCAACAATAATAATTATGATATTAGTAAAAAAAATCACTTGTCAGCTAGTAGGCTAACGGCTTACATTGCAGTTGTCATTAGTGAAACATAACCAAAATGAAGTTCACAAAAAGCATAAAAAGCATTCACTGAAGAACACAACCAAGATGTAATAATTAAATCATGAGTGTTTAATTGAATTACCATCATGTAAACTATTTTAATTTTAAAGTAATTAACAAGTCTTCATCATGGCACTTGAGCCGTAGATTTTAATAATGTCATCTAGAAAATTCAGACTTAACAGCAAAGTCATACAGTATTATCTACAAACAATGAATATTCTATTTATATTCCCGATGGCTATGGATAATGATAACTAAAGTTTGTAAATATAAAATTTATAGTTTGTTGTGGGACACAAATGATAATATTTGGTCCCAGGGAAAACAGGAATTGTTGATCGTTGTGTTTTGAAGTAAAATCGTTTAATTAAAATATCTTTTAAGTGGATCATATATTATAGTGGTTTCAGTGTGTTGTTTTGTGTTTTTCGATCATTGATCGACTGTTTAGATGAGCGTTAAGAAACTGAATTTAAACAAATTATTGGTATAATGTAAAAAATTCTAAGAGCTCGGCTTTAGAATGCTAAAGCATGGTAGGATCACAAAGCAGCTACAGATTTTAACTTCTGAGAAATCTCAATGTTGTTTTAACCACTGGAAACGAGAATAAATCAACTTCATGTGCCTTAGTTGGAAAACATGAGGAAGTGAACGACATCAATCTACCCCATGACCTATTGAATACAGAAAATTGTCCGTTACCTAAGTTATCTGATCTGTGAATTTTCAGGAGAAATAACCATTTTGTGACAATAAGTAATATGATTCGTAAAGTTTGTTATTGTTTATTTAATGCCCCGTTAGATATGATAGTAAAATATTTAATTAAAATTTACTCTATATGTATTGTTTAAATCTATTGCCAAATAGGGAAAATAGTAACCTACCTATCTGTCAAAATCATGTGACTTAAATTAAGACATCTTTAACTGATGTTTATTTCATCCATGAAAGAAAACAAAACTTTACAATTTTAGTATTATTTTGTAAAGTATTTTTTAGTCATGGGTATGTAAGTGTGGTATGTTGATACTCTAAAACCATAATCATTATTATTATTATCACAATATATTACACAGCTTGTGTATGTTAATTGAGTTATTCTTTATGTTAGGGTATATATACATTTGAAAATTGACCATTATACTGAGAGAATAACAAAAATGGTATTTTAAAAACAACATTAACTGTCATAATTATAATCACAGTTATAGTTCATTCAATGAATTAAATGTAAAATGTATTAATTAAACACTTATACTAACAAGTTCTATGGAAGAAACGATTTTACAATAACAGCAGAATAGTTACAACAGTTTATTCAGTTTTATTTCTTAATTCAAGTGATATATATATCAGATGGGTTTTGTGAATATTATAGTAATTTTAATGGTTGAAATCATAAGTCAATTAAAGATAGGCCATCATGGAAAACCTGGAAGCACTGGACGGTCGTTTCATTCTTTTATAGGACTCTTCAAAATGGGCAACCACGATCCCGCCCAGCGAGATCCGAACCCAGGAACCATCGGTCTAGCGCGTGAGCGCTTAACCTAAAGACCACTAAGCCAGCATCCAACG